ACCTCCGTTTTACAGGTATATCAGAACCATGTCCCGCAACACTGCAGGGTTTAAAATGTTGGGAAAACATGGCAAGATAGCACACAGGGTGGACATCTAAGCATGCACTGTACCATTCTTAAAATAATATAATAATAATCCTTGCATTGGATGCAGCTCCTTATCACATCATCAAACATCTCAAAGCGCTTCGCAAAATAGCAACAAAATTACATTTGTGTAGCGCTTCTCATGTGGGGAGGATGTTCCAAGACGCTGGACAATTAGTGTTTTGGACCCGAGTTGGGGGTCGGGATTGGGGAGGGTGGAGGGCAGGAGGGGGAAGGAGGGTGATCGAAGGCACGGTTCAAGAGGAGGGACTTGAGACGGGTCTTGAAGGAGGCAAGGGAGGGGGCGAGGCGGAAGGACTGCGGGATGGAGTTCCAGTTAGTGGGGCAGAGTGGTTGAAGGCCCGCCCGCCAAAAGTGGGGCGGGCAATGTGGGGGGCGTGAAGCAGGCCAGAACTGAGTGGAGGGAACGGGCAGGTAGGTAAGGTCTCAGAGGTAGGCGGGAGCAGGGCCATGGAGGGTTTTGAAGGTGAGAACCAGGATCTTGAACTGTATCTTCTGGGTGATGGGAAGCCAGCGGAGTCGGGCCAAGATGGGGGTGATAGGGTCACGGAACCTGGTGTAGGAGAGGACTCAGGCTGGAGAGTTCTGGATGATCTGCAGCCTATGGAGGGAGGAGTTGGGGAGGCCGACAAGTTTGCATAGTCAAGCCTGGATGTTATGAATGCATGTATGAGGGGAAAACACTGTAAAGAGAATTGACTATGTTTTGTTGGCGAAATGCAGAGGCCAATTGCACACAGCAGTGTCCCACAAGCATGGATTGAATAGACCAAATTATTTTTTAAATATTTTAAAGAACAAGAGGAAGTGAACTGAATACCTTGGGATTTTGAATGTCGTCTGAACTTCACTCCACTTGTTAACTTATTTTACTAAACATGTTGAAACTATAAACTTGTGAAAACAAACAATTACATTTGTATAGCGCCTTTCACGTCAGGAGGACGTCCCAAGGCGCTGAACAGAGTACAGTATTTCACACCCGAGCTGGGGTCAGGGGGGGAGAGGGGAGTGGAGGGGAGGGGAAGGGGGTGTGGCCGATGGCATGGTTGAAGAGGAGGGTCTTAAGGCGGGACTTGAAGCAGGCTAAGGAGGGGGCGAGGCGGAGTGACTGGGGGATGGAATTCTAGAGGTTGGGGGCAGAGTGGCTGAAGGCTCTCCCGCCAATGGTGGGGAGGGTGGGTCGGGGGACGTGGAGCAGGCCAGAGCCGGCTGAACGGAGGGAATGGGCGGGTTGTTAGGGGCTTAGGAGGTCGCAGAGGTAGAGTGGGGCGAGGCCATGGAGGGCTTTGTATGTGAGGACCAGGATCTTGAAATGGATCCTCTGAAAGATAGAGAGCCAATGGAGTCGGGCGAGAATGGGGGAGATGGGGTCACGGAGTTTGGTGCAGGAGAGGACACGGGCTGCAGAGTTCTGGATTATCTGCAGCCTGTGGAGAGAGGAGTTGGGAAGGCCAACAAGCAGGGCATTTGCATAGTCGAGCCTGGAGGTGATGAAGGCATGAACAGGAGTTTCAGTGGCCTGAGGGGTGACGTAGTGGCGGACTCGGGCAATGTTACGGAGATGAGGGAAGGCAGAGCGGGTCATGGCTTGAATGTGGGGGAGAAAAGACAGTTGAGGGTTGAACAAGACACCCAGGTTCCTGACTGGTTTGGTGAGTTGTAGTGTGCAACCATGGAGGTTGATGCTGCCAGAGCCTGAGGTGCAGAGGCGCTGGCGTGATCCAATTAGAAGGGCCTCAGTCTTTTTCACAAACAACTGTAGGAAATTTACCCTCATCCAGGAGTTGATGTCCGACAGGCAGTCTGTCAATACAGCAGTGGTCCTGGAGTTGGGGGTGGAGGCAGAAAGATAAGAGTTGGGTGTCAACCGCATACATATGGAAGTTGACCCCATGTCTGAGGATGATGTCACCAAGGGGGAGCATGTAGATATTAAAGAGGAGAGGGCCAAGGACAGAGCCCTGGGGGACGCCAGACGTGATAGTGCGGGGGCTGGAGGAGAAACCGTTAGAGGCAACAAAGTGAGAGAGATAGGAATCGAACCAGGCAAGGGCAGGTCCGTGAAGAATGAGTAAAGCTGAGAGGCGGTGTATGAAGATGGACTGGTTGACAGTGTCGGAGAAGAAATACTAATATTTTGTATAATTCTTTAAGATCATCCCTGAAGGAGCTTTGAATCTTTGTGGAAAAGGTGAATTCAAAGGAGACGTGACATTAAATCTCAGAAATGATGTGAAAATCTTTAATGAGATAGAAAGTATTTGAAGCTGTGGTTTCTGCCGATAGCAATCTGATTTAAAATAATTACAGTTGTTAATGGGACACCAGAACCTATTCCATCCATCCTATTCCTGCTTGTATCAACATCAATCGAAAGAAAATACAGTTGCTGTAGAGATGTGAGCACCAGTAACATCAAGTAAGAAAATAGCTGATAACAAAATGGCTCATTATGAATTTTGTGTTCACACATTTTTTTATTTTTAGGTTAAAGGCTTATAAGAAACAATGTTTTGGCTTTACAAATTATCATGGATTTTTTTTGTACAACCAATAGAAAGTTCAATAGAAACATCTACTTATATTAATATATAAATCTCAACCTACCGTTCAAAACAGGGGAAGATTAATTGCAGGCTAGGTAATGATTTGCACCCCTGCCCTCTGTGGGATTCACCATCTTACTAGAACTAGCCTGTTTCAGTAGAAGTATGCTTCATTACTGAGAAGAGAAAGAATGTACATTTATTTGGTTTCCAAAGCGTAACCCATCTCCCACCCTCAAAGGGAGATTTGTTGTGTTTGGATTTGAGATGGCAGATTAGCTCACAGTCCAAATTGCTAAATATTACACAAACTCTCCATTCACAGAACCATCACCAGTGATTCTCTAACCTTTATATTCGCTGTTAATAAAATAATTAATTCATTGCTCCTGTATGTGTTTGCAAGTTTAACCCAACCTGCATAGTTTACAGATGGGTTGCTAACAGAAAACACATATTAGACCCAGTGGCACTTGTTCCTCTGCAGTAAATCGCTGGATTATGTAATCCCTAACAGAACATGATCTTGACTGTTTTTTACTAAGCATATTCCAAAGTATCTCCAAAGGGGTCTACAACATTTTGTTTTGCCTACAGTCAATCCACTTTACAATATATTCCGTGATTCTGTGAGGATCTTTGAGACATCTCGAAGATGTGAGAGACGCTATATCAAATGCAAATTATTATTATATTATTATTACACATTATACACACTAAAACCTTTGCTCGGGGGGAGAAAAGGGCTAAGAGACACGCATTGTGAGTCACCCGGTAGGAAAACAATCCTGGCTCATCAAGTCAAGCCATGACTGTCAAGCCCCTTAGGACATCCTCTGACATGAAATGAGCTAATATAGATCTAGATTTGCATTATATTCTATCTATGTCATCTTCAGCTGAACCCCATAAAACGTAAGAGTTGAGTCTGGGGTCTGATACAGGATTTAACTGCAGGATTTTTCCATTGGTCAGAATAATTAATAAAGAAATAGACTTGATGTACATAAAGTAAGGCTGAGGTTCAGTTCTTGTCCAGCCAGAACAATCTGCTTGTCCAGGCTTTGGTTCACAGGGTTGAGGACTCTGAACTGGATAATGCTTTATACAGATTACATACCTTTTGTGATAGCAGTCATCTCCCTGAAATCTCTTCTTCCACAATGAACCCAATTCCCATGGTTGGAGCAAATGACAGCCACAATTTTATCGAGACCGAACGAATAGGGCAACACGGCAACAGGGATTTGTTCAGCAGCAAATCTGTTTCCAAGGCTACACCTACGGAGGTACCTTTCTCCTTAAATGTCACAGGTTATACCTTAACTTGCAATGTGTGCCTGTATTGCTGCAATAATTAACTTACAGCCTACAACACCAGCACATTATTAACCTTTAGATTCTGATTTGAATCAACATCATCTTTGGGTTCAAAGGGGTTGTTTAAAAGGATCTTTTAAAGGCAAGATTAGCTTTGCAGGAACCAAACTTTGCAAAGTTGTTTAGTGACATTTTCAGTGCATTGTACCAGTCATAGAATGTTGCAGCACAGAAAGAAGCCGTCGGTCCCATCAAGTCCGCACTGGTGGGGTTTTTTCTCTATGAAACAATCCATGGAGATTCCTCTCCCTTTAATGTTCCTTTCAGTCAACAACAACAAAAAAAACTTGTATTTATATTGCACCCTTCAGCTCGGATAGCAACTCGGAGCATTTATCGAATTCCCTTTTTTAAAAGAAGTATGGCCTGTTTCAATAACATTTTATACAGTTCCACATTCTAACCACCCTCTGTGGAAAGAAATGTTTTTGAACCCCCTTTATTTCTGTGATTATCTTACGCTTATTTATTCTCTGGGTAAATTTGTCCCCAATCCCTGGATGTGAAGTTCTGTTCATGGGAAAACATTTCTTAAAAACTCAATGTGCTCATTCATGCAATTGTAAAGATACATAGTTTTGCAAACTACATGAATAGGGCTCCAGATGGTAAACTTTAGTAATGATAAATAGTGTAAAGTAATCCTTGAAATTGACATTACATTTTATTACGTCAAAGCTCTTGACAGGATTTTATTGTAAAGTGTACTGTAGACTCTAGGTGAATGTGAAAGCCATTTTGTATGAAACAATGTCCCACAAACAGCCATGGAGTGAGTGATCAATTTTATCTGGAGGATGGTTGGCTGGGACAGAAAGTGTTATTCAATAGTAAAATTGTAAACTCAAATAACACATATCAAAATTACTGACAAAGTAAGCAATAGGGTGCGAATTAAAATAGAACTAAAATTAACCTTTTCTGCACGTTGCAGATACTCGTGGAAATAAGACCAAGAATCAACAGAAACAACTTGCATTTATACATAGCGTCTCAGAACACTTGCAATCATTCCAAATTTCAAACGGGAACAACCTCCATTGCCTAGTTTCTCGTGTTAAATGGATCCATTCGATGACAAAACATTTCAGAATGAAATACCTGTTGATATTTGGCAACATTTTTATTATCAACTAAAGGCTTAGTTGATACATGTAAACAGATGCAAATTAGATTTTTTTGGCAAACAAACCACAAACATCTCTTCATGTCTTTACAAACTTAGCTCAGTGTGTAACCCTTTAAACAGCTACTTTGTTTTCAAGTGCATCTTTGCTGAGCTCAGACCTATAGGAATGAGATAATTAACCCCCTTACTCTTCAAAACATTTCAAATAGCCATTGCAAAATTATTCAAAGAAGGCTTGCAGGAATCTCAGAATATCTAATGCAAGGACTATATAATTGTATTTACACATTAAATGCATTTTGTATTTGGAAATTTATATGGATGATTTATAGGATTCCATCGTGTGAATGTATTGACTTTAGGAGGTTGACATTGAGTTGGAACATAGAGACCACTAAGAACACCACAAAGTAGAAAGTGGTTAAAAGGGGTATATTAGCATTTACAGTAATAGTAACACAAGATAAGTAAAAATCATACAACTTTGTGAATGAGGCACTTTAGTATCAACCCAAGATGCCTAGCATCAGACACCATGTTTGGCATATTAAAAGCATTAAAGTGTACGTACATTTTTGCTTGTGATTAAAGCAACGTCTCTTTACTAATAAGTGAATCCCCCAATCATGGTCTATGTGAAGATTATTGGCACCTCAAGATATTCAGATAAAAATAATAATCCTTGCATTTGATATAACGCATTATCATGCCGTTGAGACGTCTGAAAGTGCTTCACAGAATAAACTGTAAAATGAATTGACTGTGTATTTTGTGGGTGAAACGTGGCAGCCAATTGATAAAGGTAAAGGATTGATAAAGAGAAAGGAATCGTCAAAACAAATTATGACAATGTATCCCTACGTGTATGGACGTATAACATAGTCAAATTGCACTTAAGGCAATGTTGCAGTGTTGAGGATTTTTGGAAACTGAGGATTTTTGGGAACAGTATTCCTGAAACAGGTCAAAACACCTTGCTCCGAAAGCTGTTTCAAGGCCACTGTACTGAACATCTGAGAGAGGACACATTTGCAACAGGCGCTATACCTGTGCAATGTGATTTTGCAGTTTTATTGCAACAAACTTTGGGAGAAACTAACAATTTATAAAAATGTTAGCAAGTAACCACAGTCAGTGATGTTTACGTATTTACCAATCGCAACAATGCACACCTCCCGGTTTTCCAAGGCTGGTAAGCCACTGATGTAAGACTTCACGTGGTTGGTGTTTTCCTTTACAGCCACTAAATTAAATAGATTTAAAAACCTGAATTTATTTTGCACTTTTTGATGAGTGGCACCAGTCAGGGAAATACTGCACTGCTGGATGGCTCGATCACTCAGTAGGACCAAGATTTTGCCTGCTTTGCCTCAAGAAACAACATTAAGCACAAAACACTAATCACAAAAAGCAAAGAGGAAACCTGGTGTCATGGCCAATTTTTCTGATAAGATTCTTCTCCCAGAATTTATTTATTTATTGCAAAAGAGCTCGAATTGTAAACGCAGCAAATCTCCGAGGCAAATCCTGGTGAAAGAATCGACATATAAAATAGCATTGCATTTGTACATCGCAAGAGTCTTCACTTGTTTTGTTTAGGTCAGAAGGTGATTAAAAACGTTCTCTTACAAGTGTGCATCTCTTTGAAAATAAGAAAATATAGCACTGACTTATTTTTTGCTTCAGAAAGCAAGGCTCATTTCTGCTGGGGATTTGAGGGCTAATGAGATCAGCCACATTTGGAAGCCACTTTATCCGCGCATGTTACAGCATTGAGCAGCAAGATGCTCGTGAGCGATATGAAATTGTAGCAAAAACGCCTCTTTTAAAATTTACATTACAGCTTTCTAGAAATACATGTTTTGAAAAAAAACGACAGCAAATTTGTTTTACAAAAGTTAAAGGTTTCAATTGATCATTATAATAATCCCTGCATTTGATACAGTGCCTCATCACCTTATCGTTGGGATGTCTCAAGACGCTCCATAGAATATACTGTAAAGTGGAGTGACTGTGTGTATTTTGTGGGCGAAACACAATCATTGATTGTAATCGAAGCAGGTGACGGAGAAGTCAAGTTCACGAGGTTTACGTTTAAGTGTTGGATTTCTCAAATAGAGCTGATATGGTGGGTGTCTGGCTGGTAGACAAGACAGCTGTAGTACAGAAAAATATCCGTAATCTTATTTAACAAATGTTCTTCAATTTCAAATGCAGCAATGGCCCACTACAATCTGTTATCCTTTGCCTCCTTGTCGCTCATGACTCTCCATGTTGGTTTCTTTGTGTTGATGCTGTCATTGTCTATTTTTGCAGAGAATCCTCACGCTATACGTCAGGGTGGGTGTTGACATAACCACATGCATTCATTCGCCCCATTTGACACAACCTACAAGGCAGATTTATTCAGACAGACCGGCGGTTTGAGCTTTTACTATACTGTAACAGTAAGAGTTGATTTTTGGACATACCCGTAGTTTGAATTAAATAACCATGCAAAAAAAATTCAGATTGCACTTTACTGATCATTAATTCCCACCTCTGTCGCAAACTGCCAGTCTATGTGAAAGGAATCCAGCCCTCATTTCATGGCAATGAGTATGCATTTGCAGATGAACAAACACATAAACTCGCGACCAGGTCCCAGCAAAGGAAAGAAAAACAGACTTGCATAGAACAAAGAAACATTGGTGGTATCCACCCGTGTTCTGCGGTTGTGGAAATAATTTGGCACAAAGTAAGCTCCTATTGGTTTTCAAAGCTGAGTGGAATTAGTTGTCCATTCCGAGTCATCTTCACTCTTCATCATTCCCGCGGGACTCTTCCTAGAAACAAATAAGATATTGGACCCGTTAAATGTGTTTAAAATATACCTACGCACAATATATGGATTTCTCCTGCCCCTCCAGATTAATGGTGAAGAAGACACTTTAAATAACTTTTTTGTTAGGTTAAGGTATCAAGGGATATAGGGCAAACGTGGATAAATGGGAGTTGAGGTACAGATCATCCATGATCTAATAGAATGGCAGAACAGGCTTGAGGGACTGAATGACCTACTCCTGTTCCTATGTTCCTAACCCAACGTGACTTGAACTCTGCTGTGTATTTCCAGACATTGACTGTAGGAAGGCTGTACAAGTACAAGGGGCTAAACCCTGGCTGAACCTTCCTCCTCCCCCAGAGTTACTCGATAATGAGCAGGAACAGGGAAACTGTCTGGCCTGCCTCCACCCCTAGCCCAGGATTACTTATGCTAATGATAGCACTCTTTCAATTGCCCCACCTAACACCATCGTAATAATCAGAGACCAAGGATTGATTGCATGTAATAATAATGTAATACTTGCATTTGATAAAACCTGTTATCTTGTCATCGAGATATCTCAAAGCGCTACACAGAATATACTGTAAAAGTAAATTGACTGTATATTTTGAGGATGAAACACGACAGCCAATTATGCACAGCAGCGTCCCATATACAGTCATGGATTGAGTGACCAACTTAATGTGAGGCTTTCCTGGTTTGTACAGCTCAATTTCACATGGGAAAGTGGCATTGACTTTGGAAAAGCTAGAACATCCTATTACTGTGCCGCTGGGAGACTTCCCTGCCTACACGCACACTTGAGCAATCATTCCTACTGCTAATAGTTAATTGAACCGATTTGTCCGATCCCTTCACTTACCTCTCCATCTAAGCTCTGCTCCACGGCATCTACCATTTCGGGTTCTTTGATCGATGGTTCATTGCTGAGAGATTCCTGCTCGGACATCTTAGAACTCATAGTCTCACAGCACGCGGTGACCTGCTCAGCACCTTCAGAGGCCTCGGTGACCATGTCCGAACATTCCTCTGTGTTTTTCACGGCGCTGACATCCTGGCCGCTATTTTCCTGGTGGCTTGTGCTGGCAGATCTCTCACACTCTTTGCTCTCAGAGGAGAAGGCATCGCTGGTTTCCGTCTGCATGGGTGTCTCCGATGTAGGAGGCGATCCCTCTTCAGGTGAGGGTGAGTTTTTGGGGTCTGGATTGTCGGTTTGCATGTTTTGTTCACCGAAAACCTCACTGTTTTCTTCCTCTGCGGCTCCGTTCTCCTGCGGCTCCACATTCTTGGCTGAGTTAACTGGCTTTTCACCGTCTGGAGAATCAGTGTCTTCAGTGAGCGACTTTCTAAACCGTCTGCTGGGGGGCCGACGCTTCAGCGACAGACGCACTCGGCCCTAAAGATTAAATCAAATACAAATAACAGAACCGTGTCCAATATCAACTCTCGCACTTTCGAACAACAACACATTACATTTGTGCAGCGCCTATCACGTCAGGAGGATGTCCCAAGGCGCTGGACAGTCAGGAAATCGCACCCGAGCTGGTAGTTGGGATCAGGAGGGGGTGGAGGGTGAAGAGGGTAATGGAAGGAGGGTGACCGAAGGCACAGTCGAAGAGGAGGATCTTGAGACGGGTTTTGAAGGAGGCAAGGGAGGGGTCGAGGGAGAGGGACTGTAGGATGGAGTTCCAGAGGGTGGGAGCAGAGAGGCTGATGGCCCGCCTGCCAATGGTGGGACGGGCAAGGCGGGGTGATGTGAACTAGGCCGGAGCCCGCAGAACGGACGGAGAGGACAGGTCGGTCGGGGGTTAGGAGGTCAATGTACTACAAGTTTCATGCTTGGTGTATATTGATCTTATTTGTTTGTGTAGCTATCGTTTGGACTCTGCGCACCAAAGCAAACACGCAGTTCAAAGTGATCACTCCGCTTTGCAGTGTATCCTGTGAAGCGTTTTGAGTCGTCTCAACAAAGACGTGATAAGGCCCTATATCACATGCAAAGATTATTATTATCATTATTATTAATAATTCTTGCATTTGATATAGCTCCTTTTCACGTTATCTAGAAGTCCCAAAGCGCTGTAAACTGTTTATTTTTGTGGGCTAAATGGAATAGGCAGTCAGTCTACTGTTGCTCAATACATCAACAACAGACTGCCTTGGAAATAGAAGTATCTGAAAAGTATGGAAGTAGACATCTCCTCATCCTTGTTGTTGCGGGGGTGGGTGGGAAGGGGATTGAAACACAAATTAACACCGTACGCTTATTCTTTATGGTGCTACTGGGTACCTCACTAGTTCACATTTTAGAATCAATCTCAAACATTTCAGATGTTTCAGAAACCTGAACCGCAAAACAAAACCAGGATCAAGTCATGTAAAAGGTAACTAAGTCACACAACCCGTGGGAACTTTGCTTCAACAAAATCTACTTCCAGAGGGGAGAACCCGCAGGTCAATGAGGATTGTACAGGGGATATTTTTTTAATTGAGGAATGCCATTAAGAAATGCTGCAAATTTAGAGTCCAGTCCTTCTAGAGCCACACTGGGTGGTTGAAAAACAGTCCTGCATTATTAAAAAAAAATTTGCTAATATTTTTGCTAAAATCAAATCGTGTAATCCATATACCGTTAAACAACAACAAGAAGTTCCATTTGTAAAACGCCTTTCACGTTGGGAGGACGTCCCAAGGCGCTGGACAGTCAGCGATTTGGACCCGAGCTGGGGGTTGGGAGCAAAATTCTGGCAAATTAATACCAATCTGGATATTTCAATAACATTGTGTTGCGTGGGGTGTTTACCTTGTGCAAACTTTGCAGAGGCTCTGCTCCCGGCGGCTGATCAAATGTGACTGGACTTTCATCTGCTGATTCACTGGATCGGGAGCGGATCCCAGGGCTACTGGGAGTGGAAGGAGGGCTGCCAAAGGGCGAGAAGCAAGACTTTAACGGGCTCTTTGGACAAATCCCGGGCAGGAGAACAGTTGGGGAGAGAACCAAGCTGGCCTGCGGGAAAACAAGTATATAAAAAAAAATTCATTCATAGAGTTATATTCAAGTGTGAAAAATAAAACACAATGAATACTAATAATTCTAATCCTAGCATTTGATATAGCCTTATCACATCGTTGAGATGTCTCAAAGCGGTTCACGGATTACACTGTAAAGTGGAGTGACTGTGTATTTTGTAGGCGACATGTGGCAGCCAATTGCACACAAACAGTCGTGGATTGAGTGACTAAATATATTTTTAAGGGATTATTACCCTGAATGATTTTACAGTTATTATGATTATTAATGATTATTATATTAAAGGTTATTACTGAAATTATTTACAGTTCTGGGAAGCAGTGTTGTCCAATAGCTGGAGAATTCTCAATTAAAACAAGTTGATCTAAGTCGGAGGCTCCACTGATGCACATATTCATGCTTCCACAAGAAGGGAGTCCTGGCTGGGGTGTGTGGTCAGGAACTAAACTAGACAGGAAAGTGGTGTTTGGTGATGTCCGGTCCACTCAATCATCCTTACTTGGTCACTCATTGCTAGTCACATCTTTAGCATTTAAATTGAGAAACTGAACCTGGATTAGGGATAGGATGTTGGAAAAATATAGGAACACTTAAATGACTATATTTTTACAGCTTATATTTTACAATACAAATTTACTGCTATGGCGCCTTTCACGTCGGAAGGATGTTCCAAGGTGCTTAACGATCCTGACTAGCACCTGAGCTGGGGGTGGGAGCTCAGAGAGGAATGATGATTGAAAGTGTGGTCAAGCAGGTAATAATAATAATAATCCTTGCATTTGATATAGCGCTTTTCACGTCTTCTAGACGTCCCAAAGCGCTTCACAGAATATACTGTAAAGTGAATTGAGGGTATATATATGTGGGCGAACACGGCAGCCAATTGCGCACAGTAATTTCCCACAAACAGTCATGGATTGAAAATGACCAATTTATTATTGTTTTGATTTTTTGGATGGATTATTATTGGGCGTGTGGAGTAAGGAAACTTGCCCAAGGTTTCGCCCTGTCTGGAATTGAACTCAGGTGAACTTGCAAAACGAGTGCTCTAACCACTGAGCTACAGGACTCCACGTATGTTTTGCTTGGAAACATTTCATTTTGAGGAATCTATTTCTGTTTCTTTGCAAGCTAGATCCATATTCCCAACGTAAAAGGGCCATCAAAATGAAGAGAAATGCCAATTCTAATGTTAGTTTGTCCGCTTTAGCATGCTCCAGAAGCCAGAACATTAAAGAGAAATGGTTGAAAAATAGTTAAGTCCCAAATATAAAACAAAATAGAAACCAGAAATTCAAAACTACACAAACAGCTTTCTTTAAAATGAGATGGATGTCTTGTTCATCCACAAAACAGACAGCTATCAAATTTTACAGTATGATCTGTGAAGCACTTTGTCTTGACAATGTGATTAGGAGCTATATCAAATGCAAGTATTATTGATTATTGATTGCTGCCTCACATCCTTTTGACAAAATAGTCAACTACAGTAATACCCTTAATCTCTTTCAACTTCCCCCACTGGCAAACTCTATCCCACCTTTTACTCCCGGTATGCAGTAACTTGCTTGTTATTGTATTGAATTTCATTTACCAGCTATCAAATATACAAAATTAGTGGCAGGGTAGCTACAAATCCAGGGAACAGGAGGTGTGGTGAGCATTGAACAATTATAAATAAAAATCTTGAGGGACATTCTTAGTGGCATTATGGCATTATCTTAACAGCACGACTGCAATCTGAGAAAGATGTGGTCAAAATGATAAGTGTGAGAAATGGAGTTTACTTGAAATTAAAACGAAGAGGTACATTTAACAGCATTGAATTTAAGGACTGTAAAGACCCATTTATCTGAGTGGAGCCCGTTATGAGGGGTGTTATAATTTAGGTCTGCACCTGGTGACATTCCGTAGCAGTTTGCTCCAGAAACAGTAATCGACTTTGAGACTAATAATAATAATCCTTGCATTTGATATAGCACCTTATCGTGTCTTTGAAACGTCTGAAAGCGCTTCACAGAATATATTGTAAAGTCAATTGACTGTATAGTTTGTGGACTATATGGTCAGTTAGCCAGTCAAATAGGACAGGTACAGCTGGATGCACACACTAGAGTAAGACACATACTGGGACAACATTAGGTTGTTGACACACATGTGTGTGTTACAGCACAAATAACTCAAGAGGCTGAAGAGCTGGATACTCTTGGCTTCGGACAAAGCACTTTAGCTGAAAGGTGAAACTGTTCTTCCCCTGAACTGAAACACTAAAAGTTTAACAAGGGATCTGCAGTATAAATGAAAAAACTTTTTTCTTTCAAAAAAAAGGATCATTTTAATTCTCCAATTTTAGAATAGAATTCCTCTCCATCGTCGTCCCTAACCCCCACCCCTCATTCGGAAAAATGAATGAGGCAAAATTCCAAGCAGGCTTTGATTAATTAAAAAAAAGTTACGGTTGGTAACTTCATTGTATTTTAATAGTACTGCTTTTCTGCCATTACACAACACATACTATATCCTACTTCCAAAGTACATTAGCTCCAGTACATTAAGTGGCCGTACAATGGCAATGGATTAGTTACTGATCAAATGGCAATTATTTTATTGTAAGGCAGCCAAAATTAGGGATATCCGGTGGCAGAATGGAATCATGCATTTTCCAAATTCCAACCAAAGGCTGTATCAAGCTGCATCTCTGCTGCATGCCATACAATATTCATTTTCCTCTCTCTTCCCATCCTAAAGTTTTTCAGAGCAATAGTATTACAAACAGGTTTTCAACCACTAATTTGGTTACTGTATTAGCAGCATGCTAGAACATAGAGTGGAACTGTCGTCAGTAATTTTCATGCTTGTTCAACACTTAGATAATAGTCATTTGACGCGGAACCCACATTTAGTATAATTGCAGCTGACTTGTATTTTGGATATTTAATAACATTGAGGAGGAATTATGTGCCACATATGACTAACAGCACACATTAAAACAATTATTAAGGGTGGGTTTGAATTGTGTTTGCCAAAATGCAATTTTGTGGGGGGTTTTTTGCAAATTAAATATGTGTACTTTAAACTAAATTTTAAGTAAGGCTTAATATTTTCCTTCTGTTTTGCAAATATATTTGGCACAAATCTTCCAAATATGCTGGGTTTTACAACAAACCACAACTATTGCAATCAATCATGACGTACTACAATGTAATCATCTTAGGAATTTGAAACAATGTGGATTTTTGTATGAACTGGTCATAATTTATAGTTGAGAGGTGTCTTCTTTGCACCTTAACCTCTGAAGGTTGTGGGTTCAAATTCCAAAGCCAAACTTAATAATAATCCTAGCATTTGATCATGTCCTTGAAAGGTCTCAAAGAGCTTCGCAAGATTTACTGTAAAGTAGTTTGACTGTGTGGACTTCCTTAGGTTAAGAAGGTGTTGTCCATCCTTCAGATAAAATATTAAACCAAAGGTCCCTCTGCCTGTTCAGGTGAACATTAAAGATCCCATAGCACTATGAAAAGAGATGAGAGTTTTTCCCAGTGTTCCTCCCAGATAAGTTGGTCATTTACTCCACAGCTGTTAGTTGGATTCTGACATGTATACAATTGCTGCCAACTTGCTCTATAATAAATACAGTCACTGCAATGGACAGCAATTACTGTCAAGTATTTTCAGGCATTTTGATGTGATAAAGTGCTTTAAAATTTGCACGACTATTTGTGAAGAATAATTTTAATGTCAAATTGTTTCTATTCTGTTTTTCTTGAGTAATTCCTCTCAGTCTTTGGCTGCCGCCTTGTGTCAATATGTCTCCTTGAGGCAAGAGGGCAGCAGATTCTGGGTACTTTCACAGATGTGGTTCTGTAAGCAACTGGCTGCAGCTGTATTTCTGTCAAAGGCGACTGTTCCTGCCAGTTTTCTGCAGGAAAAACTGGTCAAGAACAGCCTGAGCTCACCAAATAAGGGACCTGTGTAAATACAAGCATCAGCCAAGAGAGAAATGTACATTCAGGAAATCCAAAATTACTCATGCTCTTGGCCTGAATTCGATTGTGTTACAAGTAAAAGATCATGCAGAATTTTGGAAAAAAATTAAATTACATCTTAATTAAGATGTTGATTTTCTGCAGTTCTTGACAGGCAATTTGGGTGGTGGGGGGGGGGGTTGTTCCCTTGTGACAGCTATTGACTGGAATGTCTCCAGGAGCAAAAATGTGCCCCGATGTGATCACATGCCTAACTGTTTAACCCACTGTGTAGAAAACGCTAAAGATTAACTCTTGTGATTTTATTGCCACCTGAACAGTTTTATTAATAATACGTAACACTCTGTTCTCCATACCCATTGCTCTTTGTCCAGCAAATAATGTGTGAAAAACATGGTAAACATTCTCAGAAAACTCACCTGCAACTTTTCAATGAGGGGAGAGGAAGTTTTCATCTTCAGTTTTAGATGGCGAGAGGAGTCGTTTATCGGTGGCTTCTGTATATTTACATACAAAAAAAAGACAAAGACATTAAAGAGTATTCAGAAAGTAAAGGAGATTTAGGAAACCAACCCATGTCATTTATTTTCCTGAAATAATTCAAATTTATTTTTATAGCAATCTTCACATTATTCGTAATAATAATCGTTACATTTAATATAGGGCGTTATCAGGTCAAGACGTCTCAAAGCACTTCACACAGGTTTTACTGTAATCTGTGATGACTGTGTAGGTGAATGATCCAGCCAATTGACATACAGCAATGTCCCACAAATGGCAATGATGCGAGTGTTCAATTTTACTTGATCATTCTCAGGTTACTAACAATACAATTGATATTTACACAGTGCCTTTCAAGTCTGGAGGACTGGAGGGTGTCTCAAAGCACATTACAGTACTGGTTGGTTACCTGAGCCAGGGGTAGGGGAGGGCGGGGAGAGAGTTAAAAAGGATGGGGAAGGGCTAGATGAGCAAAAGCACAGTTGAATAAGCAAGTCTGCGAAAGTAGGGAGGGAAGGGCAACTCGGGAGGGACTCCAGTATGGCGTTCCAGAGAGTGGAGGCAGAATGGCAGACTCCCAATAAACGGTAACCACTCAATGTATTGGTACAAAGAACTGACATTTCACAATATTTGCCACAATCGGGCCCCCTTCCACTTAGAGCTTCAGCTCACAGGGTTAAGGACATGTCATGTATGTGATAAATGTCATACAGGACAGTTTTGAGACCAGCTGATTCAAATATTTGCCAAAACATTTGCACTTCACCTCAGCTCCGTTATGATCCGACTCTGTTTTTATCTCACCGCTGGTGCAGTGTAAAGGAAGAGAGCAAGGAGGCTTCCTGCGAGTTGGTCTGTTAATTGGTTTCTAAAATGAAAAAAACAAGTCAGGATTATAGGTAATAAAGAAACTATACAGAGGGTATTTATCAGGGCATTTTTTAAAGGAATTTTCACTGGTGGGGACTGAACTCAAAGGGGCACTTTTATCTCACATCCAGAAGCATTAAAAACAGATTTCTGCAGATGAAGCGATGCTTTGTGTACTTGGTTCAAACCTTAGAATGGATAAAATAATATGAGAGTAGCAATTTAATAACTAATAATCAAATTGCTTAATTATCAAATAATATTCTTTAAAATGTTACTGTGGACTACTAATTACTATTGCGTGTGCTTGGTGTGGAATTTTGAAATGATTGCTGGGGAATGCCCAGGGGAATATAAAGTTTTGGGGATTTTTCCCACCACTTTATATGTTTAAAAAATGCCCTGATATTTATAATAAAATACAACAATAACTTGCATTTATATAATGCTCTTCACATAGGGTAACAGCTCAGAATGCAAAAATAATCCTTGCATTTGATACAGCACCTTAGCACATCATCAAAGCATCTCAAAGTGCTTCACAGGATTTACTGTAAAATGTAGCAACTGTGTATTTGCAGGGAAACATTTCATGGAGTAAAATGAAATTAAGCACTTGCACCAATTTAGAAAGTGATGTGTTCCTTTGGTTGAAAAACATAAGTGCTAAGCAATTATTGGTAGATGGACCACATTCTTTTGCACTTTACAGCCAGGAATATTGATGTTTTTCTATTTGAACCAGAAGTGAAAGAAGAATTTGTATTTTTAGAGTTTGAACATGTCTGGGTGCTTTTCTTTTTGTAATATTGTACTACAATACCACCAGAATGTTTATGGGACGTCACTGCAAGTGAATTTCTATAATAAGTAGACTAACAAAGGTTGCTGAAAATTTTAATCTTTCCACTGACAATTTGTAATCTATATATAAACTTCTAAAAATGTCTAGAATTTATTTATTGCACATCAAGTCTTACAGAGGCTTGATCCAATAACAATAAACTGTATATCGTCCAAAGTTGTCAAACAATGTTGTGACACTTCATATGACGATGTGACATCACTCTCATTATTATTCATCTTTGCTTTGATTCCCTCTTTTAAAACAAAATTAGTTTAACATGCATGACTATATAGGCCAACAAAACTATTCAACGTCCACCAAAAAAGAACAGGCAAAGGTAGATTAAGGGTGGTGGGCCCGTCAGGAATAAAGAAATAACAGTGGAGTGAGAGAGAAGTAGCGAAAGAAGAATTCATGTTTTTACAGTGGCTATAATGTCGAAACAACTCAAATTGATTCATAGTAATTGTCAGCCTGAGTACTTAGTGGTAGTACTCTCACCTCTGAGTCAGAAAGTTGTGGGTTCAAGGCCAGGGGAATTGGAAGCACATAGTTTAAGTTGACACTTCAATACAGTGCTGGGTGGTGTTGTATTGTCAAAGGTGCCGTCCTTTGGATTAGACATTAAAACCAAGGTCCCATCTACTTGTTCAGGTGGACGTTAAAGATCCCATAGCACTATTTGAAAAGAGAAGGGAGTTTCTCCTGGTGTCTTGGCCAACAATCCCGCAAATAAAATTGGTCTCTCACTCCATGGCTGTTTGTGGGACACTGTAGTGCACAAACTTGCATTTCGCCCCAAAAAATACACAGTCAATCCACTTTACCGTATATCCTGTGAAATGCTTAGACACATCTGGATGATGTGATAAAATGCTATATCAAAATGCAAGAATTATTATTAATTACTGCCACATGCAGTGTCCTTTTCTGAAGGCAAAAGTGGCAGCCATTTTGCGCACAGCAAAGTCCCACAAAAACCAAGTCATCATGAGGTTAATGACTGATTAATTCGAAGGATTGTTAGACCGGACACCAGGAGAATCTCCCTCCACTTTTTAAATATTGCCGTGGGATTTTTGTCATGGATTGTGCCACGAGGTTCGGGAAAAGCAATCTGTGGTGGAATCAGGGCTAAAAAGGGGGAAGCAGACAGTTCACGCAGTACGCAAGAGAAGAGCATGAGGAAATAGAGATCTAAGTGAGAAAAACTGAGTAAGAGAGTAAGATAATCGCAGGAAGAGAGGCTTTGCAAATGTGATATTAATTTTATTTTTGAAATGTTTGAAATTTTTAAAAGTAAACACATAGTTTGATGCTCAACAACAACAACAAGATTACATTTGTATAGCGCCTTTCATGTTGGGAGTACGTCCCAAGGCGCTTAATGAGTTCATTGATAGAATTACTATATAACCACACTTGCCTCATGTTTTTCCAGGGCGTTGCTTGTTCCGTGACTGAACCTTGAAGCTAAAGCAGCGACTGACATCATGGGTTTTTCTTCCACAGTTTGGGTTGTGTCCCCTGTGCTGCCCTAATGAGGAAATAAGGAGCAATGTAAACGTAAGCTCTCACTCAGACATGTTAACCATTTATTGGGAATTAAATGTGATATTTTAAACGGGAGGCCTGCCAGTGTAGCACACTGACACTGGAGGACTCCAATAACTGGAAGCAGATGCCGTCTCAAGACCTTTCTCTTCCACTGTGCCTTCGGCCACCCTTCTACCCCCACCCTCCCCGCCCTCCCACCCAACCCTCCTGATCCCAACGCTCAGCTCGAGTGCACACCTTTGACTGTCAAGCGCTTTGGGACGTTCCGCCCGACGTGGAAGACTCTATACAAATATTCTTAAGAGTTTGTGAAGCTCTGTGTTGATAAGGTGCTTTATCAAATGCAAGGATTATTATTTCTTATTATCACCATTACAACAGTCAGCAAGAAAGCAGTCTGAATGACAAGTGTAATTTCTGCCCCTCTTCACCCCATCACACATTAAACCACTGGCCAAGTGCAGGGCGTCAGCTCCCAGGTGATGTATTTTAGTGCTAGTTTCGCAAGAGTATTTTCCCAGCCTTTCACCTCCATCAGGGGCAAGCAGATTTTGCCATACCATTTTCACCTTTCCAGGGATGCCCAAATAACGTCACTTAGCCCTTGACCGTGGGAGAGCGGCTTATTACAGGAGTGGCTTCCATGAAGCTGTACAGTGATAATTCTGGGTGCTAGACAGTAAATGAGAATAGCCCATTGATTTCCTCTTGTTTGGTAGGGGAAGGGGAAAAAAAAATCACAGTCTGCCGTCCAGGCTATTCCAACATTTGTGTATCTCAGTTGCGTACGTAGTTTTATGCCAGTCTGATTCAAAAGTGACAGTGCTTCAGATGAGACGTTAAACTGAGGTCCCATCTTTCTGTTCAGATGGACGTTAAATTTATTAATATTACATACCATTTGTGCACAAACGATAAGTAAATGACTATTTATCAGGTCTGAACCAACGTTCATATGTAATCAGATGCGAAGACTGTCCCTATTTGACTTTCCCACCGGTTCTGCCTCCCTTATGGATGGACTAAAGGGGGATCTGAAACTCCCCAGATAGGAACCTGCATTCCATTCCTCCCTTGACACAACAGATGGTTCTCCAGTGTGCGGTGCTGCTGTGACACTATACACGCGCCCACTTTATTGTTGCTACAAATACGCTGCCTCTCAAGTTTGCCCCACACGGTAACACATAGCCTATAACGGGACATAAAAGAGTCAGCAATGTGAAGAGGGAAAGTATTTCCACTCTGTCAGACTCCATATGCCAGATTCTTCACAGCATTCTCTTTGCTGTAACCTCAGGCATTCTGAGAATTTGTAATACATGTGAACCGAGCCTGTGGACTGGGAGGCACTGTTGTCAAGGTCAGGACAGCGCATTACACACGTTAGGGCATCGGTATCTTTCCTCTCCCACAGAGACCCTGTGACGCTAAACATTACACAATTTCACACCATGGAAATATCCATTTAATTTTTAAGTGTTTAACGTCTGTCCTATTTCGTCTATGTGCTGCTTTTACTGTAATCTGACCCTACTAACCTTTTATATATTGGCCTTTCTCCAGGAGAGCCAGTTTATTTATAAACTAATCATTTTTTGCTCAAAGAGTAAATGCAAAGTTAACGGCCACTACAAAATTAGCATTTGCTGTAGTGCCAGCTCTGAATATTAAAATACTATATTCAAATAAATCTCATTGTGCAGTGTAAAACCTCAATAACAAATCCCTAGGATTACAAACATGGTTAAAAAGACCTACCACCACCACCACCAAAAGTACTGCATTGAATTATTAAAAGATTTGCTCAAGACTCATCATTGTCAGTTTATAATACACTCTGTCTAAGTCAGAAGGTTGTGGGTTCAAGTCCCACTTTGAGCTCATAGCCTAGATTGTCTTTCAGATGAGATGTTAACTAGAGGTCCCATCTACCCGTTTAGGCGGTCTTTAAAGATCCCATGGCACTATTCGAAAAGAAAAGGGATTTTCTCCCAGTCGGTGACCTAATGAACAATCATCCAAATAAAAATAAATAAAAGGCATTCACTTCATGGCTGTTGGCGAGATATTGCTCTGAGCAAATCAGCTGCTGCATTCTCCTACAAACACACAGTCAGTGCTTTACAGAAAACTGTGAAATCCACTGAGTCGTTTCAACGAGATTAGGCGTGCTTTCAAATTCTAAGATTAAATATTTATCACTCACTTACAGATAAGAAGTTTCTCAAAGCGAATATTTAAACTAGTTGGAGACCCTTTTCCATTTCTGAAGACAAATGGTTCCCTTTCTGTACCCCAGTGTCTGGAAGATCAACACTATACAACTGCAGCTGGAAATGTTATTGCCAGATCGGTATTGTTCGCTTCACTTTAATTGCACAAATTACTCAGTTGAACGATTTCACGATGTGATGGCATTCAAAGAGCAGGAGGGTTATCGTCAATACAGTTTATCATGTTCTCGGTGGGAGGGATGAGTGTTGAGGTTTGACTTTGAAAGCACAGGATTGAGGTGCCTTCAAACCTAAAAACCTCAGTACGCATATTTTCGATTCGACATTTAGCTTATGCATTCATTTCCTGTTAAAATGTCACATCAGAATCTCTGTAAACATGGATCCACTGTTACAGGCTATTCATAGGTCCCAGTAACAGGTGCTTTATCTGGTACGTCACCCTACCCTGACCCGAAACTGCCCTTTCCAGTTCCGACAAATAACACGTTCAACATTGTGCTTTGAAAAACATATTTTGGCTTCACTGAGTGATTGAGAGGCCTGTGAACCTCCTCATTCCCTCAGCCTCCTTCCTCTTCTCCTCTATTATGCAGGTGTTTAAGACCCAAACTTGCAGTCACTCAGCATAGTTCTGTCAACAACAATAACTTGCATTTATATAGCGCCCTTCAAGCAGGGTAGCGTCTTGAAGGGCTTAAAAGTGGCAGAGCCTGATGCCTGGGGAAAGGGAGGAGGTGACCGTAAGTACAATCAAAGTGAAAGAGGAAGAGGCACTGTCCATCTGCCCAAAGCTCCCGCTCCTGTAAAACAAACGGATTCACACCAACCATTATATTGAGACATGGCAGCAGCCAATTTGCGGGTGGCATTCACCCACAAACTAAACGGTCACTGCACTTTACAGTACATCCTATGAAGTGCTTTGATGTGTCCTCCTTTCGTGAAAGGCGCTTATACCAAATGTAAAGATTATTGTTATTATGTCACTAGAGTAGACGAGTCAGAGGAGACGGCCCCTGGCGCTGTGTTAAAACAAAGATTCTTCATGGAAAGAAATGTGCTGATTGCTCCAGCCGGCCCATTGATGATGGGAGGATAGAGCGAGGTACACAGTGTAGGCTAGTGTCAGCCAAATGAAGAGAACGGCTGGGTTGGTGCTTCACTTTTCAAAATGGAAGAGAGGACAAGGAAAGGTTTTAAAATTCGAAATGCTCTAGGTATAAAAGAGGTAGGAAATGAAGCAAAAAATAATTCAAATAAAAAATAGCTTAAAGAGAGAATGTGAAGGAAATGTAGCAACAGGAAGAGAAGTGGTAAAACATTTGAGTGCTTTATTTCTACTTAAATTTGTTTTTATATTTATTTTGGTGAGGCTAGGATTGATATTATAGTTGATTAGCTGTTCCTGATGTTTGAATAGCTTTGTTATACCATAATTTTATCAGTGTAAGTGGATGAACGTTAAAAACAACGCACAGAACAGAAGTCCCTGTACACTGTCTAAATGTCAAGTTAAAACATTAAACAAAAGATAAGAGCAATGTATGAACCTTATGTACAGATTGTTACTTCAGTAGCCCAACTCCAAGACAAGAGAGAAAGATGAAAATGGTCTTTGCAGTTTGATAACACGAGGCTGAACGATAAGGCTTGATATCATAAGGCTGAATCATCTTTTTCTTATCTCTATCTTCTTAAGAGTTTAGGTTCATTGACACACAAGAGGAAATAAAGAGCCTCTTTCTCAAAGTCAAAACAATGGAACACAAATGATAGGACTGTTTGCAAAACCTTCCCCCACTTTCTCTCTCTCCCTCTCTAGCAGCTGGAGCTTCACTGTATGAAATGCCTTTGGGAACCACAAATGTGTTACCACTGTGATGTCTTGCAGTTGTGGTTCCACGCTCAGAGAATCCATGAGGACAACTGATATAAGGAGAACCATTCACACTGGCACATTGTAGGGTGGGGGACGGGGACGGGCTCTGAGATTGGCATGAAGGTATTTTTTGTTGGTCAGTCTGGTATCTGACACATGTGGAAACCCATCCCCGTGCTTAAGAATACCCAAACCAAACTGAGAATTCCATGCATCCCACCACCACATGGAAATTCCAGAGATAAATTGTTGGAATGGAATGTGCGCTCTCTCCCTAGAGGGATGCATCCTGCTTACCTAATTCCAGATAGTATTAGGTTCAGGTTGGCAAGAACCAAGATTTGGGGACACCAGAGTTGGGCCACCTCTGGAGTTCAACCAGCTAAAAAACTAAATTTTAGAACTTTTAAAATTGAATTTTTAAAAACATCACACAAGAGGAATTTGAATGAAGAAGGTTCACATTGTGGCAATACCCAAAACTGGGTCCTGCAATTAAAATTAGTTTGAGGTACTTTAACGTCACTCAACATTCAAAATATTCAGCAGCAGAATATAAATAATAATAATAATCCTTGCAATTGAAATAAGGTCTTCCAGGCCAAGATGACATGTCAGTACACTTTGCAGGATTTACTGTAAAGTGTAATGACTATGTGTTTTTTGCCATTCATAAATGACCCCTATTAAATGGAAGAAAAGACTTGTGATAAGTCTTTGTGGAGTCCTGTAGCTCAGTGGTTAGAGCACTCGCTTTGCAAGCGAGAGACCTGAGTTCAATTCCAGGCAGGTCAGGGCGAAACCTTGGGCAAGTTTCCTTACTCCACACGCCTAATAATAATCCCTTCAAAGCCAAAAACA